CGCTTAAATAACCCTCAGTAATATCAGATAGTGATTTAGACGCCTCCCCCCTCACTTTAAGTCGTTCTACAACACCCCACTCCTTAGGAGGGTATACCATAGGTAGACTTAACTGGATCGGGAGAATGCTTAAATCAAAATTGCAAATTACATATATTGGTTTTTGTTTGTAATACTTACGCTTAGCACCCTTCTCTGTTTTACCACCCTCCTCTGTTTTACCACCCTTCACTGCTTTATTAACCCTCTGATCAGGAAAAGATAAATCGTTAGATGTTGTTATCAATTCTCTTTCTAATAAAAATTCTACCAATAATACACCCATATTCTTAGTTATACACCCAGGAATTACATTAACGGAAGGTTTGCTCCCAACCCGTTGATAATTCCTTTCAGAAAGCAATTTAGCATGAACTCTAGCCATTCTATCTAGTTGGTCTACAAGGGTAGAAAGCCGAACAACTGGGCTCTCATTAATACTATTGAAGAGGCAACCAAAGATGTAAATAATAATGCCTTCCAATGTATACTGATGAAAGAGGTTTAGAAGATCCAACTCACCGGTAGTGAGTTTCTTACTAGCCTTAAGATACTCCTTAGCAGAGGGCGCATCCTTCTTAACCAAAAGATTAACCATCATAGGTGTAGCCTCAAACAAACTCTGTATATCATCATACGGATATGCTTGTTCTTCAATCCTCCTTTGTAATTCGTATAATTTATAACTATCGTACCTGTCTACTTTAGATTTACGCAACAATTCCAACACAGCACTTTGGTATTTCCCAATATTAGTTTGTTCGGTAATACTTAATCCTTTATCATTAAACTTCGGTTCGATGTACAGGCGATAAAAACCCTTTAAGAAATTTTTTTCCTCAGGGTGTGTCTCCGCATTATAGGAACGGCTCAAATAAAGGGTCCTGCCCTTCCTAATATCATTCTTTCTACCATTATGGTAATGGAGACAAATCATATGATAATCATCTATTAATTCTGTAATATAACCCACGAAACAGTCTATGTATCGCTCACCCTGCGTCAAACCAATAGCCTACAATTCATTCTATCTAGGCTAAATGACGTAGGTATATTCCAGGGTGACCGGGTTTTATTCCCTATAGAGTTGCTAATATGTTAATATCAAGTTTTTGTTTTGTAACTGGCGAACTTCAGTTCTAGAGCTGAAGTTTTTGTTTTTGTAACTGGCGAACTTCACCTCTAGAGCTGAAATTTTTGTTTTGTAACTGGCGAACTTCAGCTCTAGAGCTGAAGTTTTTGTTTTTGTAAATGGCGACTTTCAGCTCTAGAGCTGAAGTTTTTGTTTTGTAACTAGCGAACTTCAGCTCTAGAGCTGAAGTTTTTTGTTTTCTAACTGTCGAACTTCAGCTCTAGAGCTGAAGTATTTGTTGTAACTGGCGAACTTCAGCTCTAGAGTTGAATTTTTTTGTTTGTAACTGGCGAAGTTTAGCTGTAGAGCTGAAGTTTTTAAAACACTTGAGTATGTACTGCTTCACTCTCTACATCTACAGTGACGACGACGAGCAGAAGAAGTTTGCTCGTTTCTTTCCTTCGTTTTCCATAACTTAAACTAATAGTCAAAAAACTTGTTGAGGGTTTGTTGGAATCCACTAAGTAAAGTCATATATAGATATCGTATGACAAACTTTTGGCCTCCAAAAAATGGAAGTTTGCGTGAAGTAATTTAGATTAGCCACTATAATAATCAATCCTTTATATATATCAGTGCTTGCTTTATTCATACGTATAAAAGAGTTGTTGCAGCTGCTGAGATCAACAAAGTAATATGCAGGAAAAGAAATATGTAGTTGAGGTTGAGAAAGCTAAAGAAGGAAGAGATGGTTACATCAATGTTAAATTCCGGAGAGATATGGTGATCACTGGGAGAAGGAGGAGGAGAAAGGGGGCTGAAGTTGTTTAAAAAGTGGGTACAAGTTAAAACTTTAAAAAAATGGGTATAGGTTAAATGGGGGCAACCAAATAGAGCGCCCCGTGCAATTTTTACACTTCAAACCCTTAATTACGACTTTTCAAATGGTATATAGTATACTATTTGTTTGCCTGTTGCTGTATCTACCTGCGCCTTTGTCCAAACTCCAAATAAAACTCAACGAAAAGGTGGAGCCATATTTTACTAACTTGTATTCTATGGAAATCGAAATCCTTGTCGAAGATGGTCCACAGACAATGGCGGACCTATAGGTAACTTGAGAGATCATCAAACCCCGTAAACTTTCGTAGGAACCTTACTTATGTATATGTATATATTTTAAAAATAATTAATTTAAATCACTTGACACCCTGAACATTAAAAGTCTTTAAGGGCATTAGTTGAGCCGAACAATGGTGCCACGGTCTGTCGCATTAAAATCTTGGGTCCGCCTATGGGGTGAAATTCAAAATAGCCAGATTTACAACTGGTAATTGGAAAATAGTCACAGTTTCAAATGTAATCGATATTTAGTAATTTTCATGTAAAGATAAAATCTGAACAAAAACACTGTTAAAAAGCCGGAAATATTCCAACATAGTATGCTGGAGTTCAAACTTTTTACATATGAGCTTCCAGCATGTGGAATTTTATAGTGTGCTGGAGTTTCATCATAATATGCTGGAAGTTTATAGGCATGAGCTCCATAATCCCGCATATTATGCTGGAACTTTCTGTATCCTGGAGTTCCAACATAATATGCTGGAAGTTTATACGTAGTAGCTCCATAATCACGCATATTACAAGAAAATAGTTACTTTGTGGGAATTTTTTGGTCAAATTGCGACGGTTTTTGACTCCCACAAAAAGAATGCTATTCTAGATGTGCCGCAGTTACCTTTGCCACGAGCATTATTGCAACGGGTTTTTAAAACCTCCATGACAACCTCCACAAAATGAATTTTTAGTTTATGGGGGCTTTAAAAGATAATTAATGCTACGTTTAAACCCCCCCACCTCCCCACCCCCCACCCCCCGAATATGATTTCAATGTGCCAAAGAAAAATATTGCAAGGGTTTATAAACCCCCCCTCTATATGATCATAATGGTTCAAAAAGTTATTGTGGGGGTTTAAAAACCCTAAAATATGATTAAAATTTTTTTTAAGAAAAAGTTATGAAGGGTTTGAAAGATATATGCTAGTTTAAACCCCGCAATATGATTTTGATGTGTCCAAAAAAAATACTGCGAGGGTTTACTAAACCCCTCAATATGACCATAATGAACTCAAAAAGATATTGTGGGGTTTATAAACCCCAAATATGATTCAAATAGTTTTTTTTTTAAATTATGCGGGGTTTATAACCGCTATAATATAATATTAGTGTTTTTTTTTAAAAAATAGTGGCAATTTACAACATAAATACAATTTCATAAAAAATTAACCATAGTGACAAATATTACAAATTCAAATCCTCATGGAATTAAATAAATTTTTATCATGAGCACTGATGTATGATATGATCACCAACCAGCTAGGATAGTAAAAATGTATCCATTAAAAGATTGAGCTTTACTAATTTAGTACTTTTTTCTAGCTAAGTCTCCACAAACTCTACCAAAATAACACTGTCATGCAAGGGCTAAACTTTCTACGGGCAACTAATTCTTGGCAAGAGCATGGTAAGGATACAAAAAGAAATTGATAGGTTGTTGTGAAAACCTGAACTTGACTGAGAACAGTGAGTTCTCATTGTTCCTGTAATAATCAACTATGAAATTCACCATCTTGTGACCATACTCTCTCTGTTGCTCTGCATCCATGGGCTTCAAATGAGTAAAACAGTTAGCTTAATAAACCTTGAGGGTTCCACGGCAAGAGCAGGAAATCTCCATGTTTGAATCTTCATCAGTATCATGGCAAATCCTACATTCTTTCATCTTCCTTGATGTAGGCTCTAGGAAAGAAATCTGTCTCAAATTCAAAAGAAATTTCGATATGGAATAATCAAGAAAAGAGCATTCTTACATTCCCCGTAAGTGTCTCAATCCAAAAACGGAGCAACAACTCAAATTTAAAACTACTTCAAGGACAAAAGCCCGAACATTTAAAAGCTCAACAGACGGTTTTGTGGACTCCTCTGAATACATTTATATCATCTGGGTTCTGAGCATTGAATTCATTGAAAACCTGCGGTTTCGAGTCGTTAGCAGTGGATTCAGCGATTTAGTCTCAGTAGACAGGCAAATATATAAAGCTAATGTGGCTCATTGCAAACAGCAGTATGAAATTTCAGTTTCAGACTTTTTGCCCCCATCGCCCGAACAAAACCAAAAATGAGGAAAAGGTTAGGAACACAGGGAAATTGAAGGAGGTCAAGAGAAAAAGCTGCCTCATATTTAATTTGAGAATCATTTCCAAAAACACAACCAAGATTCTAAAAGATTGCAGAGATTACTACCACCTCCATCCGAATTGGGTTGTCCACCCTTGACCTGGCACGCTTAAGGGAAGATTTGAAACTATGAATTGTTTAATACTAGTTGAGAAAACACATGGATGCTTTGACTTTTTTTATGGCCAATAAAGGAAAAATAACAAGGTGGAGAACGAGGCGGCTAAAATTTTTATGATATTAAACGTATTAGACCTGCTGATTCAAGGGAAGTGGACAACTTCTACAATCCAAAAATGTAACTAAGACAAAATTCCTAGGGAAGAGGAAGTGCTTGAGTTCAGGTACAAACGAGATATCTTTCTTATGTAAGAAAGGAAAAATATACTATGGGGAGTGCAAAAGCCAATCATAGCATGTTTCTTTATCAGCTATTCTTACCAGTGAAAATCAAGGTATTCTTCACTTTAACAGCATGCTCCCTCGTCTCATGCTCCAAATGCAGAATTTGTTCACCTCGGAAATTGAGGATTAGGAGGACTGTAACTTGATACAGAGCCTGCAGATGTTCAAGCAAGAGATATCAACCTCGAAAACTAATGTAAAATGAATATTTCTCACTTTGGAACATCAGCCATCAAATTCTTCTTATATGTATTAATAGGTTTCTCCACATTATATTGGCGACGAGAGGTTCCCTAAGATAGAATTAAACAAATAATCAATTGATGTTGCGCACGAGAAACATTATAACTATGAGGACATAGGTTAGCAATACAGAAAGAGCTGAAAATAAGTTGATACATTTGGGGAATCATTGGCTAGAGCTGCAACAGAACATATTCCACCACTAAATGTTATTAATACAAGTAGGATGCACATCAGTACCGAAGCATGAAAATGAATGGAAGAAGATATTGATGCAATATAGAAGTCTCTATAATCTAGTAACATAAGTGGAAAGAGTCAGAAACGTATAGAATCCAGCTTACAGTATAAATCACATTAACGTTAAGAATGTAGTGAGAATGTTCAAACCAACTGAAAGAATAATGTGCGGCTATGTTGCTCCGACTCTCCGAAAATGTGGCTGGATACGTGTCGGATCCTCCAAAAGTAGTATATTTTTGAAGGATCCAACACGGTGCGGCTACATTTTGGAGAGTCTGCGCAACATAAATGTGCGAAAAAGTTGGTTTTCCTGCAGGGTGGTTTCAGCACATCGCAGGGGTAGATGTTTTATAAAAGTATTTCACGGCTTCAAAACAAGTTCACTTCCTACACATTATGCAAAATGACATGAAAGAAAAAAATCTAACAGATCAATAATACTTTTTTATAAGAAACCAACTGCACAGCCACATGATGGATTAGTTATCTCTAAAAGCCAACTCCATCTGTCAAACTACAATTACGCAGAAATGGTAGTGCAGCCAAGCTAATGTTACTTGACGAAACAAACAATATCTTTGCCATTAAAATGTTGAAACAAGCTTCTTTTTTTCAGAGATTGATCTACAAACTAACCTTCGACCAACAGGAGCTCGGCGCATTAGATGATCAGTTGGTGGTTCTGTGGCCAGTGTAAGCGCACCCAAGGTGTCCATAATAAGATTTACCCAAAGTAGCTGCACAGGTGAATGGCGAAACCTAAATGATTAACATCAGAACATAGAGGCCGAACACTGTCACGACCCAATTTCCGAACCCGGTCGTGATGGCGCCTCTCGCGAAGACAAGGCCAGCCAGAACAACGCAAACACATCTTTTTAAACAATTAATTAACATTAATAAATCTAAAAAATGTTTAAGATAGCCATAAATGCGGAAACCACGATAATAACCAGGGAAAACCATCCCGACACAGCCCAAATCGGGGTGTCACAAGTCATGAGCTACTACAGAGTTTACTATAAGTCTACAGAGTATGAAATCCGATACAATCGTCCGAAGAAAACATAAATGATAGAGGATAGGGGAGACAAGGGGCTGCGGACGTCAACAGCTACCTCGTAACACCAAATCACTGCTTGGTCTGGAAGGAATCAGCGCTCAGGTGCGGACTCTGCTATGCCTCAATCTGCACACATGGTGCAGGGAGTAATGTGAGTACTCCGTCCCAGTGAGTAATAACAATAAATAATGGTTGAAAGCATGAAAACTCATAAAGGCACAAGGCAATTCTATATCAGGCAGTAAATCACTTAAAGCAGTAAAACCGTAAAGAATCAAATGGAATCTTCTTTTAAAAACAGGTAAATCAGGTAAAACAACAAGTAAGTAGTGAGTAGTAATCTGGTATCAATCACTCAGCATAGTATCAGCCCCTCGGGCTCACTCTCAGTCACTTAGCATAGTATCAGCCCCTCGGGCTCACTCTCAGATCATATGGGTACCCGCGCTCACTGTGGATGTGCAGACTCCGGAGGGGCCCCTTACGGCCCAAGCGCTATATAAAGCCACCTCGTGGCATCATCACTCGACACTCAGCCTCACATCACTCGGCCTCCCATCACTCAAGCCATCTCGTGGCATATAAAGCATCTCATATCACTCAGCATATCCTCACATATGGCCCTCGGCCTCACTCAGTCCAGATATCATCACAAGCCCCTCGGGCATCAGTAAAACAGTAGTGCTCAGCCCAAAGAACAATGAAAATATCATTTAAATCTCAACAATTAAAAGTGGCTGAGTTTGTAAAACGGTATTAATCAACAGGACTGAGTTCAAGTAATATATCAAAATAGTGAGGAAACGGTGATAAAAGTCCACGAAGGATTCAAGTAGTCGGCATGAAGCCCAAAATATGGCAATAAGCCCAAATCATGTTGATAACAAACACATTTCAGTCGAATGCGCGGTAAAAATATCAATCGGGACAGACCAAGTCACAATCCCCAGTAGTAAACAACCCCGCACTCGCCATTAAGCGCGTGTTTCACCTCAATATTGCACTACGTTGTGCAAATCCGGGGTTTCAAACCCTCAGGACATCATTTACTATCATTACTCACCTCAAGCCGGTCAAATCTCTAGCTCGCTATGCCCTTGCCTCTCAAATCGGCCTCCTCGCGCGTCGAATCTGACCAAAACCACAACGAATACGTCACAATAGGCTAAGGGAACATAACCCAATCGAAAAGAATCGAAAAATAGCAAAAATCTCGAAATTGGCAAAACCCGAGCCCCGGGCTCACTTCTCGAAATTCAGAAAATTTTACATCAACGGATTCCTTATCTCGCCACGAGTCTATACATACCAAGAACTCCCAAATCCGAGCTCAAATGACCCATCAAAATCCAATTTGAAATATCAAAACTCAAGCCCTAGTTCTTCCCCCTTTTTGTTAAATTTTCATGAATTTCTAGGTTGATTCTACAATTAAATCATGTTTTTAGATCATAGGACTCACCTCCAATCAATCCCAGTCGAAACCCTCTTCAATTCCCGTCCAAAAGCTCTCAAGGATGCTCAACAATGGTGAAAATTTAACTTAACCTCGCGGAACAAAAATGATTTAAAAACCCTTCTGCCCAGTCATTACCGCATCTGCGGTCATTTTAACTGGTTCTACGGGACCGCTTTTGCGGTAATACCTCCGCATTTGCAGAAATTCCCTTATTGCCCAATTACCGCATCTGCGGTCAAAACATCGCATCTGCGACTCCGCAGATGCGGTTCCCCTACCGCACCTGCGGTTCCTGCTGAACCCCAGACTTCCGCTTCTGCGATATCGACCCCGCATCTGCGATGCCGCAGATGCGGCCTCTCGTCCGCATCTCCGGAAACAGCTTCCCAGGCAAATCTCGCACCTGCGACCTCCTTCCCGCATCTGCGAGACCGCACCTGCGGTCCCTTTTCCGCAGGTGCGGAAATACCAGCAACATCAATCTTCTGCAATAACACAAGGCTCACAAAACTCCCCGTTAGCCATCCGAAATCACCCCGAGGCCCCCGGGACCTCAAACAAAAGTGTCAACCCATCCTAAAACATCATCCAAACTCGTTCCAATCATCAAAACACATCAGATAACACCAAAACCATCAAATTACATCGGATTCAAGCCTAAGTTCTTCTAAAACTTCCGAAACTCGCTTTTGATCAAAAACCCAACCAAAACACCTCCGAATGACCTGAAATTTTGCACACACATCCCAAATCACCTAACGAAGCTACAGCAACCCTCAGAATTCCATTCCGACCCTCGGATCAAAATCTCACCTATCAACCGGAATTCGCCAAAATACTAACTTCGCCAATTCAAGCCTAATTCTACACCGGACCTCCAAAATCACTTCCGATCACGCTCCTAAGTCACAAATCATCCCCCGAAGCTAATCGAATCACCGGAAATCACATCCAAGCCCTCTAACTCATAAGTCAACATCCGGTTGACTTTTCCAAACCATACCTTCCTTAAAGAGACTAAGTGTCTCATTTCCTACCAAAACCTCTCCGAACCAACTCGATCACATAAGATACGGATAACGAAGCATAAAGAAGCTGAAAAATGGGGGAAACGGAGCGGTGACTCTTGAGACGACCGGTCAGGTCGTCACAAACACACAAAGTGTGCATCCGCTAATCACACTGATCAATGATAAGAGAGCAGAGAAACTAAACCTGAACAGCATTCAATGGGACATCACCAGCAGAAACTGCAGCAACAACATTAATGATTAGAGCAGCAATGTTAACAGTTATCTGAAACTGGATGAATTTCTGAATGTTAGCATATACGGATCTGCCCCATCGGACAACCTGTATTTGATGGGATAAAAAATCAATAAAAATAAGTATTGCCGTGCACCGGTCTGAAAAATATTAGAACTTCAAACACTGCAACTAGATAAGATACTAATGGGGTTGCAAAATATAGCAGGTAAAATAGATCCGACTTATGAACTGCTGAAGGCAATTTAAACGTGTACACAAAACTTGTATTCTGAGTTAGGAACTTGTTAGCAATAAATAACTTTTCAGAAAGTAAGAGCGTATCCCAAGTATTTCAGTCACTCCAGAAGATTCAAAATTCCCAGCAGGAAAGTTCATTCCCCACCATTAAAAAGTAATACTAAGCACCTTGTTTTAGGTTCCAAAATATAATAAACACGACTGTTGGGATATCTTCAAGGCAATAAAATTAGAAAAAGATTGTTCATGTTCCGTAAGTCAAGCATGCAAGACAAGTTTGGCTTTACTAAGATAATAAGAGCCTGAGAACTTCCTGCGCGCTAAAGCTGCCAGCATGATAAACAGAACTTCACAACAGAAGCAAAATTGTCATCCAGGATGATGATATCTGAACTTTCTTTGGCAACTTCTCTTCCTTGAATGCCCATAGCAAGACCAATATCGGCCTACAAAGCAGCAGGAAAGCAAATTTTATTCGCAAAAATATAGCGGTTCGTTGTGAAGGTAACACCTGCTACCCCATGAAAGAAAAACAGAGAGCAAACAAGAAAGTTTAACCATCAAATAAAATAGTAGAACGCAAGAGAAAACTTCATTTCTCAATGGTTCAGCAAGTAACCATATAGCAACAGAAGGAAAATCCTCTCAGGCAGAAGGAACAGTGAACAGGATAAAACAATTCAACAAGACTATTACAAACCAGATTAAAAGGACTAACAGACCCTTCTTGGAATTTTTCCATGCCCATGAAACTCCAAAACTCAGCCTAAATAGGTCGCTTCTGGCCTCTGCCAGCCGAACTATATAGGCACATACACTCCCAAAAATTCGGGAAAAAACCGACCAAAGTTGGTAGGTTTTTCAAAATATTTTATTTTTTAATTTTTTTTACGAAACCGGCCAACTTTCGCTACTAAAAAATATTTCTATTGGAACGGGTATTTTGCAACGGTTGGAGAACTGTTACAATAGATTATGTATTGGAACGGTTTTAATCGTCCCAATAGAGTCAAAAGACTTTTGGGAAACTTTTGAAGCAAAACCGCTCCAATAGGACAGTAACCGTCACCATAAATAAAGCTATGAAGACGGTTTATAAACGTGATACAATAGGGTTATTTATGGAACGGTTTGGCAAAATAAAATATATATTGGGACGGTTTATTTTTCCCGCCCTACTTTCCCTCCTACAAATTTGTTAAAAAAAAAAAAGAAACCAAATTTTGATACTGATTCTTTAAATTTTTTTGTAAAGTTAGAAAACACATTTCGTCTCACTCTCGTCTCATCATAAGCCCTTTCGTCTCTCTCTCTCTCGGTCTTAAACCTAGGAAAAATCGCCGACGAACTGTGCGCCTGCTCCGGCGAAGGAAGAACCATTCCGACGAAGTATAACCATTTCGGCTAATATAAGGAATCTCAAATGTAGGTTTTCGGTATTTTTCCCATGTTCGATATTTTTTGTGGTTGTTCGATATTCGTTATTGTTTCACCAAAAAATTATTTCGCTGCTTCTTTTGTTTTATTTTTCTGGTAAGACTTTTTATAAACCCGTTAATTTACTCTGTCCTTTGTTTGTATTATATGATAAATTTTGTGGTTTCTAGTTTGTAAAATTGGGGGTTTAGTTGATGGATTTTGATAGATGAAAGGGTTGATGAGAATAGATCAATTTCATGTTTACTCTCGATCCTAATGATTGACTCGCTTCTTTTTTATGAAAATATGTGTATTGGTAAGTGTTCTGATCTTTTTCAGAATCTATGTTGAGTTATAGATGGAGTAGGAATTGACTTGTTATATATGTTGTTTCAATTGAGTTTGTTTTGGTAATTCAGTGGTTTAATCCTGAAGAACCAATCACTTCCCTTGTTCTAAAATATTTGCATTTAGTTATCAATTGGTTTCTAATTGTATCTATATCTCTGTCACACCTCCTTTTTTACACACTTACCTCGAAGGATAATGTATAAGGGAGTTTTTTCATTTAAAGTGACATTATTCGAAATGGGATTATTTATTCATTTCAGAGTCGCCACTTGGGATAGGTTTGGATTTTGGTGTCGCAAGTCACCGGTTTATCTTGAATCCCAAATCGAGGAAATTTCGACTTCCCGAATGGAGTCTGCGAACCAGAAATTCTGAATAAGGAATTCTGTTGACCCGACGGAAGGTGTTAGGCACCCCCGGATCCCGTGGTTCTAGCACGGTCGCTTAAACTATTATAATTGGCTAAAATCTGATTTTTATACATGTCACCCTATGGTGCAATTTTAAAATTATTTACCGCTTTTAATTAATTTTTAGGAAATTTGAACGTCGTTTAAAACGTGTTTTTGGATCACGTCACATGAAATGCACCCGGATCCTCAACACATTTTATTCAACGTTTTGGGATTTGGATTTGGGTCACATGAAATGCACACTCGAGTTTAAGACGGTAAAATTATTAAATAACGCGCCTAAAGCAACTAACGCGTTGTTAACTTTGCGGGAGGCCATGAAAATTCGCTAAATGGCACGTCCCGAGTTCTAAGGATTTTAAAGGTATAATTAAAGAGGGCCACGCAATTTGTGAATTTTATTCGGCGCGGCGCACCTCGATTCCATTTTAAAAGGATGTCCTAAAGATGAACTATTATTATCTATTATGGTTCGTCTCTATTCTAAAAAAAAGCTTAATTAATTAACATTACGAATTAACTAACATCAAAGTATTCAAGAAAATTTGGGCCCCAAGAGCAAGCCCAAATTCCGCTGGCTCTACAGCCAACCAATGCATAACCTCAACATCGAATTCCCATGATGCCTGAAACGGCCAAAATGCTGTGCAAATGTCAAATGAATGAGGACATCAATATTTATTGGGCTCAAACTTGAGCCCAGATGCAGGCCTTATTATTGAAACCAAGGCAGGCCCCAATTTGAAGACATTGTAGCTGAAAGGAGGGACTCAAGATCGAGTCCCTGAAGGCATCAACTTTTGCATAAAAAAAGAAAGTTCATCACTGGTTTAAACACCAAAAGCACAGTTTCATTTTTGACGATTAAACTATATGCAATCTTAAATCTTTAAGCCTCAAACTAGTTTTAAGCATTGTGATGGAATGAAACTCAAAGAATCTGGAAAAAAATGTTCTCAAACTACTAAAGAATCCCATTTACTCATAACTAATTGCTGAAACAACAATTACCAGTAAAACAACAGCCAATTCGAAACCACCTGCCAAGCTCCAACACACTCACATGATATTCCAAATTTTAAACTTAAACTAACATTCAAAACATGGTAACAGAACCTTTAAAACACTTTAAAAGATCAATACTGTTACACGATTAACCTTTCATGATTTTCATGCTTAATGAGTGACAATAATCCAATTATCATAGCATATCTAAAACTGCTAAAGGCAATATCAAGCCTATATCTACAGACAACAATCGAATTTGACAATTCCAAAATACCCTACATTTAACTAAAAGGGATTGCAAGAAAAGTTTAACCTATATTAAAGCTAAAACAACAAAATAAGGTCCAAATACATCGAGATTTTAACAGTCCATAATTAATTACGACTTGAGAATTTGGCTATTCCAACAGAAAAAAAAAGAAAAAAAAACACTCAAACTACATCATGAGTCAAGTGAACAAGACATAAATATCATGAAAGGAAAACAGCTTTGGCACAAAGAGAACTACTGCTAAGATTTTAAAGACTGCCTTCATTCCATCTTCAAACTGGAGTTTACATCAGGAGAGATTCAGAATTTATACCTGGAATTTGCAACAGAGTAGGAGAAGGATAGTCAGCAGCAGCAAAACAAAGCAGCAGCAAATGAATTAACCCAGAAATAACCGAGGGAAAAAACAGCTTTGAAACAAGTTTGAACCACCAGAACTCTCAAACAATACTCAGTAATCAAAAGCAACCAAAACTTGAAACAAATCTCTTGAAAATCAACCAAAACTCAAGTCATTTTAACCCTTGATTATCCGGAGATGATTTCAGAAGTGGGGAGCCTCAAAGATCAACAAATTTCTCAATGGAACAGTGTTTTACTAACTATTTTTCAGCCGTTTTGCTTTGTTATTTTTGGATCTTTTAGCGCTTGGAATTCTGAATTGAGCCTCAAGTAACAATGCCTTTATAGGCAAGTTACTAGGGCAGCCTTAGGGGTTCAGTTATTTCTTTTTAGACCTTTCCTCAGTTTCCTTTTTGCTAGCTAGCCCTTTATTTTATGCCTTGCTACCCAAGCTAAATCTGAAATTTACTAGCAGACCCCTACTAGAAGTTTCTGAAAACTGTTACCAAAGATTCCCTATGTCCTATTTCCCAAACTACCCTTAAAAGCCCTGTTATTTACCCCTCAAATTGTTAACTTGGGTTAAACTAACCCAAAGTCCAACTACACCAGCCATTTTAACATGGTCAGTGATGACCATAGTTACTTATGAGGGTCTTGAACACTCAGAGATGCCCAAACGAACCAAAGAGAACAACAAATCCAAAAATTTGGGGTAAACATAATCACTTCTGATTTATCCTTAATTACTTAACTCAAAATTAAACTCTTTAACAACTATCAAACAAAGCAAATGAAATTAAACAAGTAAGAACAGGAGAAGAGGAATCAGTGAGAGGAGGGATAGGGGGAGACAATCAAGAACTTAAGCAACAAGAGGCAAGCAAAGTTAAGGCATAGCTATTAACAATGAAGGAGGACTAAGCATGGAAGGGGAATCCAATTTCAATCAAAAGAAA